CCCCCCCCCCCCAACGTCCTCCTAAAGCAAAGGGATACCCCCAACTCCTCTCGTTCTCTCCCAAATAAAAAGGGTGAAAACCAGCTGACCATGTCAGCCAAGTGTTCGTCTACAAAAAATATGGTGGGCCCTACTTCTTCCTTTGAAGGTACAACCCTCAACTCCTCCTCGTCCTGTCCCGAAAGACAAAGAGACAAAAAACAGGGGGCAATAAGTCCCGAAGGAGCCCCCACTCCCACCTTCAACTCTCGGACGATTTCCATGCGCATGTGATTCGCGTAGCTGAGCGTCGTTCCCGGGAACGGCTCGGGCTTCGCGGCCGCCCCTCCGCCCCCCGCCTTTCCTTTTTCTTTCCCGTTGGAGGTTGCCGCCGTAGTCGTGGGGACACTTGCCGCCCCTCGCTGTTGAAGGGCGTAGCGTGGTCTGATCTGGATACCTTTTGCCTGCGTTTGGGGAGCAAGGGTCATCGCAGCATGGGGGGGGTCAGTTGTGGTAGAGTTGGCCTTCAGTATTTGTCCTTCTCGGTGTGTGATCACAGGCGGTGATAGCGGCCCAAGGAGTCCCGGCGCAGAACGAGCACCAAAATCGAAGGCTGGGGGACACGTTTTAGCACCGACGAGGAGAGAGAGAGGAGACGAGAGATGAACCTAGAAGAAAACATGTAACAGCAACAACAGCAGCAGCAGCAGCAGCAGCAGCAGCAGCAGAGAATTGACAACAACAAGAGCAACAAAATGACAACAACAAGAGCAACAACAACCGTGCGGAGATCCAAGACAACAAGAGACGCCAAACCTCCTCTGTCGGCAGCACCGGCATCAACACCCAACACCTACCGCAAGGTGTGCGTTGGTCTGTTGCGTGAGCCAGTCGCCCCCTCGGATCCCTCTCTGCACAGCCCTGTTCAAAACGAAACCGTCAACCACCGGAACGGCACTGGTTGCGCCGTGCCCGCAATCGCACACCTGCCAGGGTGCAGCGCGTGTGTGAGGATGGATGGGTGGGTGTACTCGGAGCCGTGCATGCCGTTGCCGTTTGACCACTGACCTCGCATCCCTGCAAAGCCGGGACGACGGAGCACACCGGGTTCTCACCGGACCAGGCTCGAGTGTTTGGG